GCTGCCACCCGCACGACCAACCAGGGCCGGGGACAAACTGCAACCGAGGTACATGCCCTTAGCGGGAACCGAACCCAGGTCTCTCAGGACCGCAGGCCGATGCTCTAACCGCTGAACCAAACCGGCCAGGGCGTTACTAATTCTTTATTAGGTTGCTAGTTTGTTTGTTTATTTATTTATTTATTTATCTTCACCCGAGGACATTGTTTTTTGCATTTATCTTCAGATAGAGTGGGAGGAAGAGAGGGAGAGAAACATTGATGTGAGAGAGACTCATCAAGTGGCTGCCGCCCACATGACCCTAACTGGGGCCGGGGACAAACTGCAACCAAGGTACCTGCCCTTAGTGGGAACCGAACCCGGGTCTCTCTGGTGCACAGGTCAATGACCTAACCGCTGAGCCAAATTGGCCAGGGCAGGTTGCTAGTTTATTTAGCACTCAGAGAGGTTGTAGACGTTCCCTGGACATGTTTGTGGCTGGAGCTTGTATCTTAAACATATACACATAAACATACACACACATAGTTTTTTGTTGTTTTAGCTTCTCATAATGATGAAGTATCATGAACTATTTTAATTCAAATAATGAACCTTCTCAACTGCCACAGAACTTGTATGTATTTTTTCTTTTAACCCAGGGACCTGGACTGTCTTTTTTTGGTCTATTTTTCTTTTCTCAATTAAAAAAAATTATTATACTAATACCAGAAGCCACTTTGTCTTCTCAGCTGTAAGAAAGCCCCCCCCCCCCCCCCAAACCAGGTTACCAGGTATATATCTGCTATCACCCTTGGCGTGCTTTACCAGTCAAATTGAAATTTACCTAAGCAGCAAAGATGTTTCCATGGTTACTGTGCCAGGGCAGAGTCCTTTTGACTTAAGACTGCTTTAGCAAAACATGAAAGGTCTCCAGGGTTGCTAGCTAGATTGTTTTTCAGGTTCTGGCTGTAGGTCGGCCCCCTTCCTTTTTTCAGTATTTTGGGATATAATAGCTGAACACTGTTTCATATATAGACCGAGTTTGGCCGCTTTCCAGTCACTCTGATAGCATCTGACAGTGGTTATTGACAAAAGTACAGAACCAGCCCCTGAAAAGGCAATGCTGAATATACCCAGCATCAATGTTATAGTGCTTTCTGGCTCACACTGGCACACTCTTGGGTTTCAAAGCAGACAGGAACTGCATGAGGTTATCTAGTTAGTTAATTTCACTTTACAGGCGAAGGAAAATGAAAGAATCAGGGCTATTGAACTTTATACATTTTCATTAATAACACCCATTCAGTAAATATGTATTGAGTCCTTACCCTGTGTGGGTCCTGGAGCTATTAAGTATAAACACAGTCCCAGCACTTACAGTCTCACAGTTGACTGGAATAAGAAGACTGACACATAGTTACCACATCCAGTGAAACCTTATATCATAAAGGCACATTCAGAGCACTTGAAGCCACACCCTTGATTGCAGATGAAGAGTCCACATAAGAGTTTCGTGTACACAATGAAATCTTTACCAGGCAGTCTAGGGAGAGAAGGCATCGGGGTAGAGTAAACAGAAGTCAGGCAAGAGCAGCCACCTTGGAAAATGCTGAGTGTGTTAGTGTGGCTGAGTGCCCACTGTGGGGCAGTATCACTGGGGACAGCTATACGTTCATTCAGGACAGAAAGGGCTCTGTGAGTTGTGAAAATGATAAACAATCACTGATCTACGGTTCCTTGCACATCTTATTGCATCCCTCAGACCTCCTCACACCCAGTGATTCAGGAATTAAAGAGTTGACACCCAGCAGGAGACCTCTGGGCCAGTTATATGGTGCTGATTATTAATTTATTTTGAGCGTCTCTCCTCTCCTTTGCCTTAGTAAGGGATGTAAACTTCATCCTATACGATAGGGTTTGAAAATCACATGCCTTCATGGTTGGGGAGACTACACAGAAATGAGTGAAGCAAGTGGGTGTAGAAAACAGGGAAAGTTGATGACTGTGATGAATTTGAAGTATTAAAATTAATTTTTAAAGAAGTCTGTGTCGACAAACAGAAATAAATGTTTGCCAGTGCTCAAATTTCCCAGTATAAGAAATAGGGAACCACAATATTTTTTTAAATTTGGGGAGTGATACAAGATTGATTTATTTTTTAAATTGCCACGAGGGTTTGACGGACAGAGGTTACAGAAGACATGGAGATATGAGACAGAGAGCATGGCTGTTTCTAGTTCAAAGATTGGATAAGAATATGTTGGATTAAATTCAAAGATTTTGGGTTGCCTATGAAAACAAAGTTTGTTTGTTTTTCTTCTTTTCTGTATGATAAAACAATAAAAAGAATTATTGGATTATTAAGGAAGATGTGTCATTTCTGTCTTTAAAAGTTTCAAGTACCTAAAGGACAGTGGTAGACACTAAACCCAATGATTCTGAAAACTCTCTGGGTCTGGGATGCCCTGAAGCATATTAACTTAAGCAAAATATTTGTGGAGAAAAAAGAAACTAAAAAACTGTGGGTGGTGAAATGGGGCACACAAACGCTGAAAGAACTCTTGAATGTTACCAAGCAGGGGATTTTTGTGGGAACATGAAGATGTTTTCAACAATCCTGTGTTGGCTTTGGCTGGTATTTGTCAATTTAACAAATTGGAGTACATACTATATGCTAGACACCGTCCTAGGCACAGTTTGTTTTTTAATCCTCACCCAAGGATACTTTTTTCCCCATTTATCTTCAGATAGAGTGGGAGGGAGGGAGGGAAGGGGAAAGAGAGAGAAAGAAAGCGAGTGAGAGAGAGAGAGAGAGAGAGAGAGAGAGAGACATTGATGTGAGAGAGGGACATCAACTGGTTGCCTCCTGCAACCGAGGTACATGCCCTTGACTGGAATCGAACTCATGATTCTTGGGTCTGCAGGCCGATGCTCTAATTGCTGAGCCAAACCGGCCAGGGCTGTCCTAGGCACAATTTTAGCTAGGATTTATTCATTCATTTATTGAGAATTTACTATCCCTGTCCTCCACGGAGCATTCATTCTAGGGGAGGAGATGGTAAATAAACCTGATACCAGGCCAGGTTATGGTGAGCAAACCTAGAGGATGGAATGAGGCTAGGGAACACTAGAGATGGAAACCAACCAGGGAACAGTGATCACTATACAAAATATAATGGAAGAGAGTTTTCACAGGCCCCAAACGAGCAGGACTTGGAGTGGAATGCAGGTATCGCAGAGAGAAATTTGCACCCACTATAATGTTGTGAGTATAGAGTGTTGAACAGTTGTAGTTGTAAAAGTAATGTGCTAGGTTTTTATGAGCTGATTTTGAGAGTTTGGTGAGACACCCCTGTGTAGCTATTTCCTTAGATCAGCCTTTCTGAAACTTTGGTGGTATCAGAATCAACTGAGAAACAAAAGAAATACAAAGGTCCAGGATCTATGCTTTCAACCAGCTTGGGCTTCTGTGTTTTTCATTAGCTCAGCTGGTGGGACTGACTCACAAAGTTTGAGAACCACTGACTTAGATAAACGGAGATAGAAGCCCAGAAAGAGGAGCTAAGGGCTGGAGATGTGTATTTTGGAGTTTTAGAAAAAGTGTTCATCGAGACTTATGGATGGATCAACTCTCCTAGCTGATGAGTGTAAACGGGGAGGAGGAAAAACCAGAGGACAACGAGTGGTTGCATATACGCAGCTGGTGGGGAGACGAGGAAGAGTCTGAAAGACAGACCCATGAATTATTCAGCATAAGGGGAGAGTGCAGAGTTCAGTTTCTCTTTAACTGGAATGTGGGCTTCCTGGGGACAGAGACCTCAGGGTTATATTATACCTGGCATTGTGCCCAGCACTTAATAGGCATTTAATCAATATTTGTTTATTAAATGAATCAGTGTATGCATGGTTTCCACAAAAGCTAAAGAGAAATTCTTAGGAGCATATAGGCAATCATATCAAATGCAGTAGCCCGAGGTCAAGGGGGCTGAAACTTCAGAATTGCTGGTAGATTTGGTCAGAAGGAAGCCATTGCTATAAAAGAGATGGGTTAATTAAGTACAAGCAGTGGATTTAGGCTCTGTTGTCATTTTAGCATTCATCCTGGGCTGTTGATGAACAGTTAAAGGCTACACACACACACACACACACACACACACACACACTACACATTGATATGCATATGTATATGTGTGTATATGGTTATATGTATGGATTTATGTACAATTACAGATATTTAGCTCTTGAGCCTTCATTGAGCCCTGTTGCTCTGTTGATGTCCTCTAGCTGCCTTCTTGAGGTTGTGAATCTGGTGGGAAGAAGTGTCATGGGTTTTGGAGGGGTCTCTTGGGAGGCTGGAATGAATATAGACCAAGGAAACCAAATGCTAGGGATGTGTTTCCAATAAGCTGCATAATTTGTCCTCAGTTTTTTGGTGATTGTTTGCTCCCCAAGAATAGATATAATTTCTAGAAATTGCATAAAGATATAAAATCCTACTGTTAGATTTGTTAAAAGCTTTGAAATTCTAGGCACACATTTCTTTTGAAAAGATAAATCTTTGTGTCATGAAGCCGAGATGCTTATTAGCCTGCTCTTTGGGATCTGCGTGTTCGTCGATGAAGCATCCAATCTTTCTTGTATTTTGAAATGTCATATCCAACTGCCTTTTAATGAAGATTCATTTATTCTTTTCACACTGTTAGGTATGGTCTGTGGGGAAAGACTTCTCTCAGTCCACATGAATAGAGCCCATTACCGGTAATGGAAGTTTTGCATGTGCCTGTGGAGGTGAATGCGCATTGAAATAATTTATGTTTAAACTTCCACAGTCCTTTTTATTTAGCTGCCTTAAGATTTCAGTGACGAACTCTTTTTTGTCCCTAGTTGCTGTTTGACATTGATTGTAGGCATTTGGTGATGGGTCCAAGGTTGTAACTCTAATGGGTGTAAGTATTTCTTTCCTCTGTTTCAGCTGAGAAGTTTTGGGAGTGAAATATTCACAGCCATTAAGAGACCTCCAATTTAATTTCTCATCATGCTTATTCTGTAGTTCATATTAACTCCACAGTACTGAAGGAACTGAACAAGTGGATCTCTAGACCTCAGATCGCTGGCCATGGTGTGGGCCATGGCGTCTCAGGATGCTCAGAATTTCTTCCAGCCTCTGTCTTCCTGGATATCTCGGGTATATGAAGCTCTCCAGCAAGCAGGCGGTGTGCTGTCTGCCTCCTTGGTTAACTTAAGCAAACAAGACTCTAAATTGAGTGACAAGCTAGACCAGGACTTAGATGATATTCAGATTCAGGAAACTTACTTTGAAGATGAAGAACAAAGCGATGGTGGGAGTCAAGAGGACACAAATTCCTTGTTTCTTGAAGTGGAGCATTTTTCTTGTAATAGTGATTTGCAGGACTCTGCTCAAAGTACAAGCCCTAAACGTAGCCAACATGCAAAGGACTCGCGTTCCATTATATCCCGGTGGCCCGCTCAGCCCTGCGATGACCACAAGTCGCCACGTGTGCTTTCTTCTGTTGCTGAGGAAGAACATCACCTTGGAAAGCAAAGGTGTGGCCTTCAACCTGGCTCTGAGAGGCAGCTCTCTGGTATTTTAGAAAATGTCTATGGAGAAAAGCAAGGTAAGCTAGCCAGTAATCATTTTCTCCAGGTTCTTCCAGAGGACGTGTTTGCTCATTTTATTTTGACTTGTTTTAGTTGTCATATGCCTTTTATTTTTCTCCTTCTTATACCTTTCCACACGCTGGCTTTTTTATCGAGAAATATAATCCTTAGGAATATTTTCAACATGTAAATTTTGGAATATCCATATTCGTGGGATTCATATTCCAAAACAAGAGTTCCAAGCGAGTGAAATGTTGAAAAGGACTCTGTGGGTTCTGTGTGAGAAGCCTCGTGCATGTCATGCTTTTTAAAATATCTTTCAAATTGTTCTCTCTCTTTTTTTTTATACTAGATTAGGAATCTCTAGATGTTACTATATTATTCAGTGTGAAATCCTGTGCAAAAAGCCATACTTGTTGCAAAATTTTTAGTTGATAACACTCCAAGAACACTTCTCACAGTATTTCACTGAGATGTGATGTGAGATGACAGTAGATAGAAAATCTCTGAAATAAGAATAGCTTGATTTTCTTTGAGCCTTGAATGGAAAGGATATATTTAAAACAAACGGCCTCTAAAGCTTTATCCTGTCAGAACTGAGCATATAATGGGCCTTTGATAAATGTAAAATGAAGACGGTATGACTGTAATTAACTCTGTAAAGGCAGCTGTAGTATGTTCTGGATAGGTTTTTCATGCTTCTAATACTCTGAGCCTGAAGTAAGGACGTTCCACCTGGTTGAGGGAAAGAGAGGTACATGCTGTGCAGAGCAAGGTGTTGGGTGTGAATAGAGGACGTGTGGTTGTAATACATACAGAGCTCACACAGCCTATTGGATCTTTTATGTAATATAAAGGTGAAGTAATTCGCTTCCTATTAGGGGGAGCAGACATTTCTGGAATGTTTCATAACCTCCTCCGCTATTTTCATGATTCCTCTTAGCTTTATCTTTTTAAAAATTTATTGTTGACAGGATTACAGATGTCCCCCGTTTTCTCCCACTTTGCCCACCTCTACCCAACCCCTGCCCCACCTCAGCCCTTCCCCACACTACGGTCTGTGTCCATGGGTTATGCATATATGCATATATGTTCTTTGGTTAATCTCTTCCCATCTCTTCCACCCCTCCTCTCTGAGATCTGTCTTTCTGTTCCATGCATCCATGTCTCTGGACCTATTTTGTTTGTCTGTTTATTTTGTTTATTAGATTCTAAATATAAATGAGATCATGTGATACTTGTCTTTCTCTGACTGGCTTATTTTGCTTACCATAATAATCTCCAGGTCCATCATGCTGTTGCAAAGGGTAAGAGCTCCTTCTTTTTCACAGCGGCATAGTATTCTATCGTGTGAATGTACTACGGCCTTTTATCTGCTCATCTACTGATGGGCACTTTAGCTGTTTCCAGATCTTAGCTATTGAATATAATGCTGTTATGAACATAAGGGTGCACATATTCTTTCTTTTTGGCGTTTTAGCATTCTCAGGATATATTCCCAGAAGTAGGATTGCTGGGTCAAATGGCAGTTCAACTTTTAATGTTTTGAGGAAACTGCATATTGTTTTCCATAGTGGCTGCACCAGTCTGCATTCCCACCAGCAGTGTGCTATAGTCCCCTTTTCTCCACATTCTCTCCAGCACTTGTTTGTTGATTTATTGATGGTAGCCATTCTGACAGATACGAGGTTATACCTTATTGTGGGTTTAATTTGCATTTCTTTGATGACTGGTAACATTGAGCATCTTTTCATATGTCTCTTCGCCATCTGTATGTCCTCTTTGGAGAAGTGTCTATTCAGGTCCTTTGCCCATTTTTTAATTGGATTGTTTGTCTTCCTGATGTTGAGTTCTTTGTATATTTTGGAAATTAACTCCTTATTAGATGTATCATTGGGGAATATATATACTACCAGACATCAAACTATACTACATAGCTTTATCTTTTTAAGAAAATGTTTTATTCAGCTATATTAAGTTTTGGAAAATGAGGAAACATTTTTATACTCTTTTTATGCTTCCTTGATGGTCTTACTCAAATTAAAGTAATATTAAATGCTAGAATAAATTGGTAAAAACAATGCAGGCTGATATTCTTTGTGAATCTGATAAACAAGAAGTAAGTGCAGTTTCAAGTGTTTTAAAATTATCTGTAGAGATCATTCTGAACATAGTTGGGCTACCAATAGGATTTCTCAGATTTGACTTGAAATTTCTATTCCTACTTTAGAAAATTCTTGCTAAAGTTGAACTATGTTTAAAATGTTTAACGTAAATTAGGTTCAATAGATGCTCAGCACTTCTTTTGTTAATTTTTTATAATTGTAATAATTTATAAACAATCTAAAATAATTGTTTTCATTTGTCTATTCAGAAGATGTTTATTCAATTAATTATAGCCTCCAGAAAGGCAGGGGTCATGTCATGGACTCATTTCTGTGTCCTTAATATCAAGCATGGTGTTAGGTATGTAATAGGACATCAGATAACAATAAATGATGGAATAGCAGCAAGAAAGCTAACAACCATAAGATGTAAATACTATTAATCTCACTTCGCAGTTGAGAAAACTGATGCTTGGAGAGTTTGATAATATACTCAAGATCCACATTAAGAAAGAGGCAGAGCTCAGGAAGACTAATTCTTAAGTTTACACAAATACCCTCTCTCTGTATAATTTACAAAGAATAAAATCTATCCTTTTTAGTACAGTTCTGTGAGTCTTTACAAACACACACAGTCTTGTAACCACTGCCACAATCAAGGTATCAAACAGTTTTATCACCTCAAAAACTTCCCCAAGTCTCTTTGTAGTCAATCCTTTTCTCTACATCTAGCTCCTGGCAATTGCTGGAATTTTCTGTTGCTATCGTGTGCCTTTTCCAGATGTCATATAAATGGAATCTTGCAGTTTGTTGCCCTCGGATCTGGCTTCTTTCATAATGCACTTATCATAACGCCTTGCGATTCATCCATGTTGTTGTGTGTTTCAGCAGCTGGCTTCTTTTGTAGTGTGGGATAGTGTTACTTACATGAACACACCACAACTCGTTGCTTTAGTCACTAGTTGAGGGACGTTTGGGTTGTTTCCAGTTTTTAGCAATATGAAGAAAGCTGCTATAACCATTTACATAACAGGTTCTTGTGTGAATATAAGTGTTTATTTCAATTAGGTAAATACCTAGGAGTGGGGATTGCTGGGTCATATGGGAAGTATATGTTTAACTTTATAAAACAATTTCAGTGTTTTCCAAAGCACAGTTTTGCACTCCCAAAAGTAATCATTGAGATTCCCAGTCACGCATATTCTCACCAGTGCTTTATGGTGTTGTTATTTAAAAAAAAAATTAAAGCCAAGCTCATAGGTGTATAGTGGTAGCTCATGTTAGGAGATAGTTCTCCACGGGTCTCTTGCATTTTGGCATGGTCTCAGAGCACAGTGGCAAACATCTCTCTTTCGAATGATCTTTTCAAGGATATTTGTATGACAAAGAGCCTTGGAAGACAGAGATAGTGTCATCCTCTAGAGCAGAGGGAAGAATTGTTTGATGTCCAGTCTAGTATGTTTCTCCTCAGGGCAAAGCTTAAACGGATTTGCTTGCAAATGATAGAGGTACTACTGAAGCAGGGTAATTTGTTAGTGTGCAAGTAGGGTAAAATCTCAGATCCATCATAGGTTTTAGCATCTCCATTGGCTTTAATTTGCATTTCCCTAATAAGTAGTGACACTGAGCATCTTTTCATATACTTATTTGTCACCTGTATTGGTTTTGTGGGCTCTTTTGCCCACTTTTATTGAATTCTTTATTTTCTTATTTTTGAGATTTGAGTTAAAACTATATTTTGAATATGAGTTACTTTTCAGATATATGATTTAAAAATGTCTTTTAAAAATTATTATTATTGTTAATCCTCACCCGAGGATATTTTTCCACTGATTTTTAGATTGAGTGGAGGGAGGGGGGGGGGCAAAGGGAGAGAGAAAGAGAGGGGGAGAGAGAGAGAGAGAGAGAGAGAGAGAGAGAGAGAGAGAGAGAGAGAGAAACATGGATGTGAGAGGGACACATTGACTAGTTGCCTCCCGCACAGGGCTGGGGCTTGGACTTGCCCTTGACTGGGAGTCAAACACACATCCCTTCAATCCACAGGCTGACTCTCTAACCACTGAGCCAAACCAGCCAGGGCTAAAAATATTTTCTTTTTATTCTCTTAGCAATGTCTCTCAAAGAATAGTGAGTCTTCATTAGATGAGATCCAACTTACCAAGTTTTTCTTTTATGAATCGTGCTTTTGGTATCATATCTAAGGAATCTCTATACAACCTAGGGTCACAAAGTTTTTTTTTCCCTATGTTTTACTCTAGAAACTTTTTTATGTAATATAAGGTATGAATTGAGGTCCCCCCTCTCATATCGATGTCCAATCATTCCTGTACTATTTGTTGAAATTCTTTTCCCATTATATGTTTTTACATCATTGTCAGAAACCTATTATATATATATTTATGGGTCCATTACTGGACTGTACATTTTCCCATTAATCTATATTTGTATTCTTTCTCCAATATCACACTCTCTGTTCACTATCACTTTATAATAAGTCTTGAAGTCAGGTAGTGTGAGCCCTCCAACATCATCATTATTATTATTATTATTATTAATTATTTTAATCCTCACCCAAGGATATGTTTTTATTGATTATTAGAGAAAGAAAGGAAGGGACTGAGAGAAAGAAACATCAACTGAGGATTAAACCTGCAATCTTTTGGTGTTTGGGACAATGCTCCAACCAACTGAGCACCTGACCAAGGCTTTATTATATTTTTAAAAAGTGTTTTGACTATTCTAATTTTTTAAAAAAATGTTAGAAATGTGATTGAAATTGTGTTGAATTTATAGAACAGTTAGGAGAGAATGACATGTTAATAAAATTGTGTTGTTCAGTCCATGAACATTGCATATTACTTCATTTATTTAGTTTTTAAATTTTCTCATCTGTTTTATAGCATACAGGTCTC